AGCAGAAATAGAGGGAGGCTTGAGATGTGATGAAAGGAGCCATTCACGTCTTCCCACGAGAGAGAGGAGCTCGCTTTGATTCTCAATGATAACAGATATCATGATGACATCCCAGTGTAGGGGTAGGTTGTGTTTCTTTTTACATGTTGTAGGTTTTTCTTGGCTGCGTGTGTGTGTGTGTGTGGGATCGGCCTACAAATACTCGATATGAGTAACATCCTGAACTGGACGCTGCCAAACTTCTAGGATTCATAACCACGTCTTGTTCCCGAGTGTGTTTGATCCAGCACTTAATCAATATGGAGAGCTCTTTGCTGATCTGTCACTGTCACTTTACCGCCGCTTTAAGTGTTTTCCTGCTTCAGAGGAGCACGTGCACCGAGCTGAGGAGCTTGATATTCACTCAGTATCAGCAGATGAAGATGAAGGTGTCACTTCTGACCAATAACAGGAGGAGGAGATGGTTTTTTATCCTCCTGTCTCATCGTCAGGAGCACGGCTCTGACTCCTGATTATTTTTCATTACGCTCTGACTAATGCGCAGATATTTTCTCAGTTTAAAAATGAGGAGAAATATCCATCACAGTTTCATTAAGCTGCAGGTGAGGCCAACTTTGTTTTTGACGCCGAGGTCTTATCCCATTTTTACAGGGTTTATCATTATCAGATGCTACAACCTCACTCCTTTCAGTTTTGATGCAGGATTTCGAGGCTCCAGCTTTGCACTAGTGTGTGTTTGAATAAATTATGTTTCGAGCAGCATCTTCTTGATCTTCTTACACGAGCTTAAACTGTGACTTCTCAGACTATAAGTATATTTACACCCTCTAGATCTGATTATTCTTGATTTTCATAAATACTCTTTTCAAATGTGTGTGTAGTATTAATTCAGTTTTGAAGGTGCCTGTTGTGTGTTTTCAGGGGAGCACATGTCGTTATTGCTGCATTTATCAGGCAGCAAGTGTTGGCTACACTGCGAAACGTTTGCAAAGGAAAATATTCAAGATGTTTTGCAGTGAACAAAACTCCAGAGACTTTACTCGCAGGAAACATGAGTAAAAATGATTACTTAAATGTAAGAAGTAGTTCTCTTGTAATCTCCACTTTATCTTTGCTTGTTTGTCTCTTTAACGTCTCTTAAAATGAATTATTAAAAGGGTACCGTAGATGTGGTGGTGGAGATTGTAGCTTTAAAATGCCGATAGATCCCCACCAGAGTACATTACAGTTAAAACCCTGGACATAAAAAGTCCTCTAATAACATTTGGCTTTTCTCTTTAATGTGAAAGAGGACAATCGATTCCCAGGTCAATTGACTCTGTAGTAGTTGGGGGTGATTATATTTCATATCGGTTACAGCTCCATTTTGCAGTGATGCAAACTTGATTCACCCCAATATCATCACAGTGACGTCTTTCACCAGAGTGGACTTTAGGGATTAGAAGTTCAGCCCGCAACACAAGGCCTCTCTGACCACTAGAGGGCGTCCGAGAGCACTACCCACAAGAAAGCTTGAAATGTTTTCCTGTCGCAATAACGCAGCTACCACCAATAAAACTCAAGATTTACAGTAGGTGAGTGAATGATCGAGACTTTAGTCAGTAGTATAAGTGGTGTTGAGGCAGTGGGGGCCTCACATCAAACACCTCTAAGGGCCCCATAAAAGCTTGGACCGGCCCTGCAGAGCAGACAAACACTGTAAACACGACTCCTGATAACGAGACAACAAGTCGTGTAGTGTGAACTCGTCCTAATGGAAAGGCAAACTCCTCCAGTGTGGAAGAATCCAATCGCTTTCTTTTAGCAGGTTTATACAAAGATATTAGTATTCGACCTGCAACTTGTATGCAGGTGTTTTTTGAACAGACCAGGAGATTAATCCTTTCTTCAATACCAGCCTCCATCGTAATACTCCCCACGCATCCCCCCCTTTTTCTCCACCTCTTTATCTCTTTATCAGCCCTCTCCACTCGTTCTCCCCTCCTCTCGTCTCCCATTGAGGGGGGGAGAATGCAGTCATCAATATCCCTGGCTGTGTTACAGGCGGTTCACCCAGCACCTCCTGGAGGGCAGAGCTATTAATGGAATTCAGGAGAGGACGTCAGAGGACCAACAGGCAGGGGCGTGTGGTTCAGTGCCTGGCTTTCTCCAATCTATGCCACATTACTGGCTGTCAATAAGCTAGAGAGCAGTGCAGTCGCTCTCGCTCAACTCGCCTGAACTCAGATGAACCTGAAATCTCATCAAATCGAAGAGATGGCACAGAAAATTACGGATCTTTGGTCAAAGACCAAGACTGAGGTTTTGTGTCTGTGCTTTGCTGGCGAAGCAAAACATTCCCAGTCAATATGATTAAATTGCCAAGCGGTGAAATTAACTTTTCATCGTAAGCGCAGTGAAAACAGCAGGCTCCTTTCCAGCCTCCTCCTCTCCTGCTCAATAGACTTTATTACCCTTTAAATGATATGTAATCACAGCTGATTAAGATGCTGCTCCTGATCATCACTGAAAACTGTGAATAAGCGCATCGCCACACTTGCTGCTTGTCTGTGAAGGCAAAGTGCAGTGAAAGCAGCTTTCGTTGACGAGCTGCAGCCGTTCGCTGTCCTCCCATCAGTCCATTTGCCCACAGGCGGCAGGCCGGCGCTGAATGGAAAACTAATCCATCCCACTAATGCAGGGGCATTACGGCTGCCCGTCACTTCCTAATTGGCTAATGGCGAGATTAGGGTGGTTACAATAGGCCGTGCTGACACTGTCTTGGCCAGTCATAACAGAGGGTTTAGGGTGAAAAGACAAGACCTGCGTAACACGTCCGACCTGGACCTTTGTTCACAACACTGGGCCATTATAACAGGGATGTTGGAGGCTATAGTGGTTTCCATGTTCACCCTGATTAGCTTTAATATATATTCTTTTAAACTCCATGCAGGATCAGGCCTGACGCCCTGAGACACTGTTGTTATTAACATCTGTCCTGAGAGATCTGATCACAAGTGGTCAGCATTAGGTTTGTACCCATTCACATTTCAGACTAAAGCCAGATGTTCGCAGGTGTCAGTAGGGGCCGAATGAATGAATGAATGTACAGCTCTGCTATGATTTTCTAATTTAAGAAAGGTATCAATCATTATGTGGTGGTCAGTGTTTATTGTGGCTACAGACAAAGAAGTGTGTGGACTCCGAGAAGCGTAATGATATGTTTGATTTTTACCCATAGCGGGTCAGAGGTCGTCAGCTAAGTGGGCGGTCCTTCATGTGTGGCCCAGGACGCATTTGTGTTCACGTGGCGAAAATGATTTGGCCACGTGCATCTTCCAGATGTGGTTCGATCATTAGATCATCTTGGACAGATGTTAATATCAGGTCTAAACATATGTTTAAGGGAATTTATTTACTTGGTCCCTTTTCCTAACAAGACAAACATAAATCCACAGAGACGAGTTTGTGATTTCCAAACCCCTCGACTCAGCCGAGATTGTGCAGAAGGGACTGCAACTCAATAGCCAGATGAAATTGCTGTTACTCTGTGAGTGTGAAATTTGTCTGGAGTCCATGATGAAAGAAACTGGGGAAGATGAAAAGAGGAGAGGCTCCAGCAGAGATGATGCAGGAGACAGATGAACAGAGGTGCAGTCTGTCACCTCACTGTGGCTGCTACCTGAGACTACATACTCTCCTCAGGAACGAATAAAACAAGAGGCAAGAAGATGGACACATTCATTCAGTGATGCCAACAAGCTGCTTAAAGTTTATGTCCACCCAAAGCTACAGCAATAACAGTAAAATATATGCAGTGCTCTGGCTGTTTAATTAATTTAAGTGTACTCACCAGATGTAAGTACATGAGGAAAACACTCACCTGTTGCCAACACGTTGAAATCCTGTTTAGAAGTCTGATTTCTCTTTGTCATTCGACGTGTCAACATTCACTCTCATTCCTAACGAGCAAATTAATTCACCCGTAAAAATGGACCACGCGTCTCAACTTCCTACGTTAAAATATCCCGGATACGAGCGCTGCCATCTTATGTCTATGACATCATTTGAAGCCTGAGTCTGCACAGCAGGGATCAGGGGACGGCGCTGCGGTAGCGAGGTCCCGCCCGTATACACGCTTAACCAAAGTCAGTCTCAGCTGTCAATCACAATTCATCTGCGGACATGGAGGAGCCCTGGTTTATGACCTATACTAGGACATCCTGATTTTAAATATAACTTTTTTATGATGTAATTTTAATGAAATCAGACGTGTTCTGAGATACTAGAAAGCGAAGATGTTGTGTCTCACCAATCCTCAGGAGAGGTCACGATGACTTGAGGGACACCAGGCACATCCTGTCCCATTTCTTACCCCAGCTATCTCACCGGCTCCGTGATGAGTGCACGGTGGAATCTCTCTCCGCCTGCAGTGATCTCAGGTTCCATTAACACTCCGCTCATAGTTTTCACTGTGCAACGTGCAAATGTGAAGCCAAACACAGAGGTCACGCGTTAATACCGTGTGTTTTATTAACATTCGTAGCTTCGAGCGACTGTATGTTAATGTAATCTGCGGGAGTACGTGTATGAAACCACTGCAGGTGTTAGCTGTGACCGGGGCGGACGCAAGTGCTGCTCAGCTGCACAAGTGAGGGTTGTACTTGTGGCCTGTGGTTGTGGAGTTGCATCCAGGCTGGAGGACGTACTGGAGAACAACAGGCTGCGGGCTACAAGAGCCTCGGCCCACGCTGCAGCTCAAGCTCTCTCATCCATTACATTCATGCAGTGCCTGTTCTAAACCTACCTGTTTGTAATGAGCTGCTCTCTTGGCCTGTGGTGATGCTCTGGAGCTACATCACAATTATTCCCCGTCATTAGTGAGTCGAGTTAGACAACATTGTGCTCATCCTACCTGGTCTATCTGCAAACAAGTTTTACAGTTGAGTTTGAATGATTTACTGAACTGCTGTTATTTTTCCTTTCGTTACATTTTACACAGATAAACAAAGATTTGTGGAATTAATAGATGCGAGATGTGATGCCTCTCTGTCATACACCCTGTGCTCACTTCCAACCACTTCCTCCTTTTCCTCTTCTCACATCCCGGTCACCAAACCTCAGATTCCCGCAAAGTTCCCAGTTGGTGACAAATGTCCTGTTACTTATCTGTTCACTATTCACTGCCACGATCTGTTTGTTTTCCTCGGTCGTCTTTGGAGTCTGCAGTAAAGTCTAGAGGTGGATTTATACTTGTGTTCGACAGTTCTGCCGCAGACGCCTGGAGCGCAGGAACTGATTCATAGTTCGGTGTCTGATTTCATCTGTTTATAGCACCACAGCTCCGTGTTTATAGCACCTCGTTCAGACAGATTTTCTTCCATCCCGAAACAAGCCGGGGCCGATCACAACCATTTATCTGAAGAAGGGCGAGTTTGATGCGATGAGAGGAAGAGGAAGCTGCGCCGCTGAAGGCCAAAGTGGCTCCTGCTGGTGTGGAGAGATCTGTAGAATCAGCTTGTCACATGTTTCATTGGTTTTCCACCATCTTTTGTCATGATTCTGTCCCTGTGTTTAACTTTTGAAGGACTGTTGATTCATCTTTGGTTGATGGACTTTTCTGAAATTGTCTTTCCAGTTTTGTTTTTTCATATCTTTGTCGGATTCCCAAACCACTCCGCCTCCCAGATGCTCTCCTCCTTTAGTCTCACGGATAAAGCAGGAGCTTGGTGGTTAGACACGACGTCTGTTCACAAAGAACAACAGTAGCTATTTTTAGCGAGGAGCTTCCCACACTCCTGACTGGGCTTAAATCCAGAAACACACCTGAGGGGATTCGAGAATCCAGGCTCCTGTAAGACTGACACAATGATGGCTGTAGTATTTAACCTTAATGAGTGTCCCAACCCTCGCTGATCAAGGAATTGTAAATAAAGATGATTATGCGCACTTAAAATATCCTAACATCATTAGACTGGTGCCTGGGAAAGGTTGCTACACTTTGAGAATCTGTGCAGGATCGTGACCCACATACAGAGGATGGAAAATCGAGAATCAGCATTGTGGTGCCTTTAGATATTGTCACCCGAGAGAAGTCCCCACCAGAAGATGCTGCTAAATATAGTCCTGCAACATCAAAAGTCCTCTTTGAAATGTGTGTGTGTGTGTGTGTGTGTGTGTGTGTCTCTGCATGAATGTGTGTGCTGCTCTGTCAGTCGCTCTGCATGTGAGGGAGGCTAATCTGATGGGTACATAAGCCCCCATGCAGACAGACAAAATCAAGAAACTCTCCAGCGGAGGTGCGACACAAACATCCACACTGACACATCCACTCGTGCAGTTTTTTTTTTATTCCCCCCCAATCCTCCCTGCTGCTCATTTGCTTTTATAAGCTCGTACAAATGATTCTAACAGCAGGTTGCTAGTTTGGATGTTTCAGCTCTGAAGGTCGCCAACAGTAAATCTCTGCTCGGAGGTTTGTGCGTACAGCGTTCCACTTCGTTCCGTACAATAGCGATGTTTGACAACTTGATTTCCAGAGAAAGAAAATTAGCTTTCTGATTAAATGTTCTGTAAACAACCACAAAAAAGAATGCAAGTGCTGATCATCGAGCCTTTTGTGGGTTTAGCTTCTCCACTCGAGGACCAATTAATCGGCGTATTAACAAGACAACATTGGAAGAGCTTGGCAAGCGGCTTAATGCCCTCATTTGGATTCATTTTCTATCCATTACATTGTCTGATGGTGTCTGGAGGAAGTTGAAACCGTAAACTTGGACGAGGATTGGGATTTTTTTGCCGTGTACCCAAAAATACCTCATCTCAGGAACATTTATATAGGATTTTAAAAACATTATTAGTGGTTGTATTTATTGAGTGGAGATGAGAAGTTATGTATCGAGGTCAGTTCAAGCAGACAAGTAAAGTCAATTCCTGGTCAGGAGATGTGTTAAAAAAACCGAGGGAAAAATTAAAGTATGAAATTAAGGGAATAACTTAAGTAAATACGAAAGTAAAATCATTGCAAACATTTTCATCAGTCTCCTGTTAATATTCGCCTTTAGCTTGAACTACACTGGAGCCAATCTCTTCTCTTTTGTTCTCATATGTGAAGGGAACCAAGGAAAAGGAACAATTTCATCTTTTTTGCCCTTAAGTGTCCCCAGTTTTCCAAGTGGGTCGTCCTCACAGCAGCTCATTTCACTGATTCGTTCTGTTTGTGTAGTTACAAGTGTGGTAATGTCTGATCGAAGCTCCGCTGCACAGCACAGAGGGCTGTTTCTGAACGGTTTGAGGTGCGTGGTTCGAAGCTCATGGCTGGAGAGCGTTGAGGGAAAGTGTTGAAAATGTTAAAGATCTGCTCCAAAATTTAAATGTATTCTTCCCTGACGCATAACAACACATCCACCAAGTTCCATTGTAATCCATCCAATAGTTTTTGTGTAATCCTGATAACAAACAAACACAGACATGTTTGAGGTAAAAATCTGATTTTCCAGGTGACTGAGTGTGTTTACAAAGCAATAGAACTTTATTAATCCTAAAGGCAATTTAGATAAAAACAAGAAACCGACGTGACATGGCTTTCCACTGCTCCAAAATAAAAATGCACCGGACCACAACTCCGACACCATGGGCTCTGGACGTGAAGACAACTGTCAGTCCGAAACAAGAGAAGACACTTAAGTTGCGCTCGCCGCCTCTTTGCAAAGTGTTTAATGTCGGGCACTGAAACTTTTATGGGCATTTTTCCAGCCTCGTGCAGGGAGTGATGTCAGTTGGCTCACCACCTACCAGGGAGGATCATGGGCACAGTTGCTCCCCTGCTGACGTTAAAACGCACAGATGGATCCTTTAAACGCTGCGGTGAGGGTCTAACAAGTGTGTTTCACGGGGCTCATCTATTTCCTGTGAACAACCCTCGCTCAGATGTGAAAACCTCGGGGGTACAGTGTCTGCGTGGTGTCACAGCCGGGATCAGTTTGAACAAGTCTAATTAGCAGCAAGGAAGTATTTAGGAAATCATTTGTACCTCAGTGTTACGTTATAAACTCTTATTGTTTTAGTAACTGGAGGACAGACGATGGCGGCGGCGGGGAACTTGACGTTTAATGCCGCTCTCACAGTTTAGAACATTTTTAATTCGCTCTTGTGCTGCAGTCAGATGTGGGGGAGTCCTCATCGGACCGTCAGGTCCATGCAAATGGATTTCTGCTGTTGGCGTCCAAATTGCATCAGCTTAACCCCTGAAATGGAAAAATCCTCCTCTCTTCTACCAAGAAAGCACGCTTCTCTAATATTTGGTCTCAGATGTGAAAGACAGAAAAGGACAAAAAGGAATGAAGAGGGCATTTAATGAGTCGAGCAGGGTGAACCTGTTTTTAGATGTTTTCCTGATCACTTCTGAAACACAGACTGAGACGACTTGTTCTCAGTCCGCGGTGAGGAGGCGTCCACGGCTGCAGCTGCTCTAACTCCTCTTCTCTTATCTCCTGCAGGCACAACCAGGCAGCCCAAGGAAGGAGAGGTCCCGGGGGTGGATTATAATTTTGTGACCGTTGACCGGTTTGTGGAACTGGAGAAAAGCGGAGCCCTGCTAGAGAGCGGAACGTATGAAGGTAAGGATTGAGTGAAGTCACGCTTAACGACGTGTGTGTGTGAGATTGTGGTCATTTCCTCTTTAGCTTTAGACATTTCCCAGAACTTATAAAGACGCAGACAAACTTGGAAAGACATCATGTCCTGCCTCCCACGTTCACTACCCAGGCGCCACCTCTTGTTTGAATGTTCTGGGCATTTTCCTGCTGTCGTGAACGCGTCTCCCGCTGTTTGTCGTATGTGAACTCCAGAAAATGTCCTCACCCTATTTTCCCGGAGTCCTTGTCTCAAAGCGGCTTTGGTGATATTTCAAAGCGGGTTTTTTTGTGGAATTTTTGCATCAGTGCAGCACTCAAGGCATTTTTCTGTGTGTGTGTGTGTGTGACAGTGGTGTGAATGAGTGCTGAGACAGAGTTCATCTCTCACACACACACACACACACACACACGTACCATCCATCTTTCAGCTTTGCGGAGACAAGAGCATCATCAGTCATGAAGGACTGAAAGGAATCTGTAAATTCTGAATGAAGAGAGTCCTGCACGCACACACACACTCACACAGACAAGCACATGCACACAGACACACACTCACATCCACGCAGTCCCATCTTCATGTGGACTCTCTCGGCTCAGTCCTTGAGTCTGAGCTGCAGTGGCTCTTCAGTCGTCTAATCAAAACAAACAGACAGACACTCGCTCTCCTCTCTCTCCCGTGGTCAGACAGACCCGCGGCTCGGATTTTAAAGCACTCCGAAAAAAGCAGCCGCAGCTCTCGGTTCGCCTGGCCACCTCCAGCTCTCAGGAGACCCCCTGCCATTATACAGATAACACACACTGGTGCAACTAACTTTCTCCTCTCCCACCTGACTCCAGGTCTCTGTTTGCTCGCCACCACTGCAGGAAGGAGGGGACATTTTTTGCAGATGGCCAATTTAACGGTCGGTTGCCAGGAGCAGTGTTAGATCCTCTCACTGATGGGAGCCGCTCTCCACGGCGGGAGGGGGGAAGAGTTTCTTCTGCGCCGTCGCTCTGCCATCTTTCAATGTTTTATATACTTTAATAATTTAATGGCCAATTAGATGTGGAGGGAAAAAAAGGAGAAGGGGTGAGATTTAGAAAGAGAGACTGTGGTCAGGATGAGCCGGCTGTCAGAGCAGCTGAGGTTTGAGTCGTTATCACAAAGAATAATGTAGGAAGAGCTCAGGTTCACTTCCCGCAACAAGTCTCCTAGAGAAAGACAACGATGTCCTGACATCTCACCGCTACAGAGTCTGTGTTTTAAAAAGGTTTTCGAACGACGTTTTAAGACAAAGTGAACAGTGAAGTGGGAGGGCTGACGACATCTGCAAGTATTTTATAAGTTTCACATGCAGATAAATACAGGAACAATTGTCCTCCATCCTCTATTTTTGAAAATAAAAATCACTCTATCACTCTCACATGAACCCTGGAAGTCTAAAGTACTGCCCTCCACTTCACCTCCACCTTTCCGTGAGACTTTCCTTTCTTTTTCTCTTTCTCATGACAGTTATATCCACACGTGTACGAGACTCCAGACTGAAATCTGCACAGCTCTTGCCACCACTTCAAAAGTGCAGGTTTCTGTGGAGCTGCAGGTTATTTAAGTTCACACGTGGAGCATAATTTCTTCTCGAAGGCAAATCTCCGGTTCGTTAAGGCTCCAGGATTTGTGTCTGCGGTCGGGGGTCTCTAATCCCGACAGTCCCTGTAATCTTTTTACAGCTTCTCTCCTCTATTTTTCATTGCAGCCTTCGTGTTTTCCAGATCGTGAACATGATGTTTCAGTAGGTCTTTCCAACGCAGAGGGAGACACCAGCTAATGTTTTTTTTAAATCTTCTTGGCTATTCTTCTTGTTCCCCTGCAGTTAATGCTGCAGTTTGTCTCTAATGCTCAGACCCAGTGGGTTGAAATCATCTCTGCGGATTGTCACACGCGTCATCTTCTAATGTCTGATCATTCAGTCACGGCCACTTGACTGGAGCTTTAAAGCTCATCTAATAGCAAACCTTACGTGACCCGCTCCAGACCTAAACTGTGGCTGATGTCCTCCTCATGGAAACCGATCCTGTGCTGTGGCCAATCTTTGTCCCGACCACAAAGAACTTCAGCTGGCTCGGATTTAAGAAAAGCTCAGAGGCAAGTTGAGACAGATCTTTTTTCTTTTTCTATGGAAGGACATCTCTCAGACTTTGGGCCGACGTGATTCGACACCTCAACCCAGGACTTTAAGAATAACAGTCTAGTGTTCAGCTTTGACCACGATGTCTTCTGCAGTTGGTTCACTCGCTCTTTTCTTTACAAGTCTTGTCTTTCCTCCTCAAATCTCAGCAGAGTATATAACGTTTCTAGTCAAAGGTTCAGCATCAAACTCCCACTTAATTCTCTTACACATTTCTCTGGCAACATTACAGTTGAAGACACAAAATGAAGCCAAGACTTCGTAAGATACGAACCCTGTTTTTAGAATTACAACAAAACTTTCCAGAACATAGACATTAATAATTGTGATTAAAAAAAATACCTAAAAGGATAATTTTATGTGCTTTTAGATTAATTATGACCCATACTGTAGCCAGCCACCAGGGGGCAATTAATACACTGTGGCGTCTTTGGGTAGCTGACATGACTTCCCAGCTTTTTATACAATCTATGGTTTATCTCATGTCCCATCCGCTTCACCTATAGGAGGCGTCATGTCGTCCATCCTTATCTACAGTCTGTGTTTGTTCCCTAAAAGATTTCAACAGTGACCCATAAAGAAACGAGTGACGGTGACTAATGGAGGCTGTCGCAGGGACTCGGCTGCTGCCAGCAGACGCACCAAGAGATGGTGAAAATGTAAAATCTACACAGAAGACTGTGGAAGAGGCTGTTGACTCTAAGCCAAGAGGGGAAAACTGCAGCTTTGTTGGCTCTGACCAACGACCGAATCTTACACGGAGAATCAGCGATTATTCAAACAAAGCTGAGCAGGAATACGCATCCAGTGCATTGACTGATGTGCAGATGAGAGGACGGGCGAGTCTGGTGACAGCAAATATCCCCGGACATGGTGGAATTAGTGCAGGAGGAGGCGTGAGCTTGTTCGGATCACTTATTACTGCATCTCCCAACTTGTCAGTGTTGTAAGACATGATGTGTGTTCACGGATCAACTGTCTGACATGGAGCAGAATGTCAGGTGCACAGAACATGTTATTCTCCCTGTGGACGCTGCAGTGGTTTCATTTGTACACACCTCTCTTATCCTCTGCTCTGTCGGCCTCTCTCCTCATTTATTGTATTTGAACTTGTGCATTACGCCTCGCTTCATCGCTGTGTTTCACTTTTGGGGAGCGGTCATGTCAACATCTGGATGCTAATACACTGTTAGCATCCAAATGTTAGCATTTAACATGCTTGGTAAAATGATTGATCACAACAAAGTACAGTTTATGATAATGAGAATGTGATTTTGTCAATGTTTCACTCATTATGTCCTGAAAGGAAAGGTGAGAGGATTAAGTCTTTAAGATTCAATCCTCTGGAGATCACCAACATCTCGTCAGACCAGCAGACAGACATCTTCCCCCCCCACAGCCCTGAGACGAGCACAGCATTAAATATAAGAGGTGTATTCAGTACATAAAAATAACTTTGGTTTTAAATGTCTCCCACGTCTCGCTCTGTTCCAGATAACTTTTACGGCACCCCGAAGCCTCCGGCCGAGCCCAGCGCTCTGCTGCTCAATGTAACGGACCAGCTGCTGCCGGGCGCCAGACCCAGCTCCGAGGGCAAGAGGAAGCGGAACAAGTCGGTCAGCAACATGGAGAAAGCCAGCATCGAGCCCCCCGAGGAGGAGGAGGAGGAGAGACCAGTCGTCAACGGCAACGGCATCGCTCTCACCCCAGGTCAGCTCCCGACATTGACCTCCACGGGGGCACAGGTCCGCTGTCAGGACGTCCAGGTTTAGAGTCAGGGTCATAGCCCACGGCACCAGTCTCTTCTGGATCCGTCGCCTAGCAACAGAGAGAGTAACATTGATTTCACACACGTTTCCTGGAAAATAATTTTATGGCAGGTAATGACTTTTAATTGGTTACACGGATATCTGTATGTGCAGTGTAAATTATAATTCACTCTTCAGAGTCAGTGATTACCCCCGATCCAAACGGTTTATGATGAAAAAGCTTCAGCGCAGTCGCTCCTTTGGTATTTGATATCAGTCGCTGGGTATCATTATTAAACACAGATAGCCAGAGGGCTATAAACACATACAGCAGCAGCCTGCAGGCACTTTCAAAATCAGCTAACACCTTTTTGTGAAGTGTTTATTTTCCAAACCAGTGTTCCACTCCGTGTTCATTCTGAAAATAGGCAGAAGTGACATTAAACACGTAACGAGGCCAAACGTCTCGAGGTCGTACAACGGCAGCACTCGTCTGCTCGTTGTTTGTCCACATATGTCGGAACACACATACACATGCCCTCACACACAGAAACCCCTTTGAATGCATCCCATGATCACATGAAAGCAGAATAATAAAAGGGGCATTATGAGTTTGATTTTTGTGATTCCAAATCCAAAACCATGCTTTGGTCCTGTGACTTTCTAAGCTGGTTTTACAGCCCGGGGACAGTTGAGTCTCTCACAGCACGGCAACAGTCACAACACCAGGAAATTTCAAACCGTTCAGTTACTGATCCCAATCAGTGCCCGCAGTTACTTCTGCTTTAAACATCGCCAGGCTTTTTTTTT